GAAAGAAAGAAGGAAAGAAAGAAAGAAAGAAAGAAAGAAAGAAAGAAAGAAAGAAAGAAAGAAAGAAAGAAAGAAAGAAAGAAAGAAAGAAAGAAAGAAAGAAAGAAGCCGCTTGCGGCATCAACAGAGCTGTCAAGCGAGCGCTCTTTTGCCCGGTCTCTCTCTCACACACATACAGGTATCTAATGCGCACGTATCATGCACAAACACACCTTTTAAACTAGATGAAAACTCTTGGCAACCTTTACTGGCAGCTGTATCTTTAATGTAAAGATTAATGTGATGTAATGTGATGTAAAGATTATTATATTATGATGTAAAGATTATTATGTAATGTGATGTAAAGATTATTATGCAATCCTAAAAAAGTCAAGGAGGACACAGCTGAAATGTCACGTATTAAATTAAAACTACTTTATTAATTTATGCAACAGCCTCACATTTAAAAGAGACACATAAGGGCGATCATAAACATGGAATAGCCTATCTTAAACTGACCAGCTAAATGTTTTTCTTTCCCTTTTTCCCTTATTTATTTATTTGTTTTGAAAACGAGTGGAATGGCAGCACGCTATCTTTACCAGACCTGGGCAAAGTCTGCCACTCTTTTTACTCTGCCCCAAATACCCAGTTGGCCCTCTTTGGCCAAGGTATTCGGCGGGGCGAAAAAGGAAGCCCCACTTTGGCCCAATCAGGCCCCGGAAGTGACTAGGGAAACGCTACTGGCCCTGGCCTGCTCGCTTTAGGCGCGATAGTGGAAGCGCGGCTATTGTGTTCACACCTGAAGCTTTAGACCAACAAACCTTCTGCTGAAAATCTGTTAACTTAAGTTGTTGTTCATTTTTGGATTTTCCCAATTTTAAGACCTGCCAACGATCAGACTTTTTTTTAATGTCCTGATATAGAATTTAATTGCATGTCCCAACTCTTTCACATGACTTGTAGGTGGATGGAAACAGCTAAAGTGCTACAAGAGTAATTATTTAAGGCTATCTGAAAGCATGTAGGGAATTGTGTGGTGTTAGGTTGACAAATAGGTTGACAAATGAGTTGTGTGTGCCAGAAGGTGATGATTGAAATGAAAGACTGATGTATGTTGACTTCACGGTCTGATTTCTTTCCAGGTATTAAGTAAACAATGAGGTGAAAACAAGGCTATTCGTTTGACAGTGTTGTTTACTCTCCCTCATGTTAGTCATACAGTATAGCTATTATCAGCTTTTCTGTGGAGCGTATAGAATTGTCTACATTCATCACACAAGGCTAATATACATCTTGAAATGCAGAACTGTGCTGTATTGTTACTTTTAAAGTGTTTTGTGGGCCATTTTTTAAGGAAAATTAAACATTTAAAGAGATAACTATACAAAAAAGAAACATTGCGGTTAGTTACTCATCTTCATATCATTATTATACTGCTCTACGGAAGAAATTAAGTAATTGATGTCCTTTTTTTCTTCAGCAGAATATTAAATTACATTTTTTTAGCTCAAAAATCGAGTCCTTTGTGATTTTAGTGAAAAAAAAAAACTTTATATCGATTCTTTATTTGTTTGGATGTCACTGAGCTCACCTTAAACAGCCGGTAGTGTTTTCAAAAACTTCAGGGTCAACGTGTTTGTTGCCCTCACGCCAAATATTGTACGGCACCACAACGTTTTCTGTCAGCAAAGGCATAGCATTCGTGATCAGGTCTGGTTTTAGTGTATCCGCCGAAGACAAATTCCACAACAGACCTAAAGACATCAACATATAACAGCAATTTGCAATTTCTCTTTATACGGTGCATCAGGAAAGTATTCATAGCACTTCACTTTTTTTCACAATTTTTATGTTACAGCCTTATTCCAAAATGAATTTAAAGGGCACCTTTGGTGAAAAATCTTCTTTTAAAGCAGTTTGGAAATACATGTGAGTAAGTATAGTGTATATATACTGTCATATTTATAATAAAAACATATAACATAAAAACGGTGGACCAATTGGAGCAGTTTTCAGATCGACCGCAACTTGACGTAGGAGTGCGGTCCCCCCGCCCACCAATATTGATTGACAGCTGCGCTCATTAACAAATCTCCGTAGTAACGCAAATAATCATATTCACAAGACAGGACGAGCGCAAAGCAACAGGGAATAAAGGGTCTGTTCAGTTTGCTAGGATCATCAATCATCATCAGACGTGATCAGGAGTGAGTTTTACAAGTTTAACATGTTTTAAAATGTGTGCACGTGTATAATGAAGTACAGCGATTCACTTAAGATTCACTTCATCAGCACAGCTGCTTGTCTCTCTCACTGTCTCTGTGTGTGTGTGTGTGTGTTTGTGTGCGCGTGTCTGCGATATGTATGTGTATGTGTGTTTGTGTGTGTGTGTCTGCGATATGTATGTGTGTGTGTGTGTGTGTGTGTGTCTGCGTGTTTACGCTATGTATGTGTGTGTGTCTGCGCTACGTGTCTGTGATATGTTTGTGTGTGTGTGTGTGTGTCTACACTATGTATGTCTGTGTCTGCGCTACGTGTCTGTGCTATGTGTGTGTGTGTGTGTCTACGCTATGTGTGTGTGTGTCTGCGCTACGTGTCTGTGCTATGTCTGTGCTATGTGTGTATATGTGTGTGTGTGTGTGTGTGTGTGTCTACGCTACGTGTCTGTGCTATGTGTGTGT